TGTCGATCCAAGGTAGCACCACCCCATGCTGTCCATGCGACTCCCGCTCTCATAACATCCCAACTGCAGTAAAGTTAGTAATCAAGCAAACTAGGGAAAGTGACCCATGGAATCTCGACCATCGGCAGTAGTCAAAACTGTTAGAATCCAGAGAAAATGATCAATCCGGGGTCAGAGCTGATGGCGGGTAATCGAGGCGAAATTAGGCCAATCTCCCAATAGTCATGGGTTCTCGTCCCTTTCATCATTTTTAATCATTCTTCCTTTTCCTTAATTCTATTGTCTGAAATAGTAAATTAACCGTAAATTCCCCAAAATTAAATTCCGTGAAAGTTTAAATAAATGGCCGAATTCCTTTTGTTTCTTTTCTTTTTTACTATTTTTAATCATTTTTTTATGTTTTTGATTTCATTGTCGGGAACATAAAATAACAAGGGTATTCCCCCTAGAATTAAATGCTGTGAAAAATAAACAAATTAAGGAATATTATGTTTTTCTCTTCTCCCCTACTGGTCTTAATCCCTTTTCCCCATCTTTAATTATGGTACTAAAATAGATAAAAATTTGAGGCCTCATTTCGGCCCCGGTCGTATGCTGCAAAAACGTTGCGGCAGGGCTAGTCCCCTCGATGCCCCCTTGCGGCCGGCCTTTCGAGGCGTAGCCTCGGATCGGGCTGAAATGACGGTCCCTAGATATGTCGGGATCGGCTACCCATTTTGCCATCTTTGAGGGTTACTCGTAAGGTTCAGTGCGCCCAAAATCAGGGGTGCCCTGAGTTCCCCTAATTTTCGCTGCCCGGTCAAACCAGAGTACGGTCAAAACTTGGACTTGTTTATGAGCCTAAGTCCCAAAGCCGCGGATTTCAGGCGGTCCATCCCTTGTGGCCGCCTGACAGTTAGCCCGGACCTCTTCTCGACGCCCCCGTCGAGCCCTAGCCACTTACGTCAAATGAAGCGGACGAGCTTCAGGGTGATTGCCCGTAAAGGACGCCCACGTCGGAGTTTAATTGTCTTATGTTTCAGTTTGTTATTAGTTCTGGGGCTAAGATGATGTTTCTCGACTTTCCTTTTCCTTCGGGATTTTTGCCTTGGTAGGATTCTCCTTTTCTTCTGACGTTGGTCCGAGAAAGGTGCCGACCCGCCAGTTTGTCTAATGCGAACTCTCCGTCTGGCCCTCTTGAACACGAATAACCATTTCTTCTCTCTTCCTAATGCCAACCCTTTGACCTTCCTTATCTCCACTCATTTCCTCTTCTTGGAACTTTCCCCTGCCTCGAATCGTCTCGAGGGGGCTCCATCCTCCATTTTGGCATTCCCTTTCCCTTTTGGGTCTGTCAGCGATAAGGTGGGTGGAGGCCTGGGTCTAAATAGCTTTAACCCCTAGCACCCGCCACTGGGTCCTTCCACTTGGATCCGTCTAATTCTGCTATCATATAGGCACCCCAGTCAAGCGCCTCAACCACTCTGTAAGGTCTCATCCATATGTTGGCGAGTTTTCCGGTCCACGTCCTTTCCAGTGCTGCGTCGTAGAGAAGGACCATATCTCCTACGCTCATCCTCTCTTTCCTGATTCGCACGCCCTTATCCCATCTCTCTTTACCTTTGTCCCTCTCCACTGCCAGACGATCTGCCCCTGTCATAAGGTTGTCCTCCAAACCGTAGGCTATCTATCTTGTTCAGGCAGCTATGAGTTCCTCTCTGGACATAATTTCCGCCCAGTCGATGGTTGTCCAGCTGTCGATGTGAAACGCTATAGGGAGAGGACAATGCCGCCCGAACTACAAGGTGTATGGTGAGTATCCAGTGCTAGCCGGGACCGTGACGTTGTCCGCCCATATTGCGTATCGAAAAAACCGTGGCCAATCGCTGTCCTTACCTTTGCACCACTTGGATAGTGACGCTATCAGAGTCTGGTGTCCCCTTTCTACTGGAGAGTTCGACTGTGGGTGGTAGGCGGTGACTATCGAAATTCTCGCCCCGGCTCTCTTAAACACACTCTGAACCTCGTCAGCTAGCAATTCCGCCCCTCTATCCATCATTATCTTGCTGACACAACCATACCTAGATAAGTACTCTAGGACGAAGTTCTTCACTTCCCTAGCCGACTGACTCCTGATAGGTCTACCATCCACAAATCCAGTGAAGTCGTCTCGTATGTTCACAACATAGTTCATATTGCCTACTCCTTTCGGCATCTTCACCAGATCGATGTGTACCTTCTCTCCTGGCCTGGTCGGATAGGATGGATGAAGTGGCTCTTTGTATTTCACAAGAGTTCTCTTCTGACACTCCTCACAGGTTATACAGTATCTCTCGACGTCCTTATATTGTCCCTCCCACCAGTACAGTCTGCGTACCTTTTCGTAGGTTCCTTTGACTCCTCTATGACCTCCGACCACCCCGTCGTGAAGCTCCGCAACTATCGTCTATCTCTCTCCAGGATCACAGACTACTCGTAAGGGCATCCCCGACCAGACTGGTCTTCGGAATAGATGGCCAACTCTAAGGCAGTACTGGGCTGCTTATCTCCGGATATCTGAATCTTGACTCTCCTCTCCTGACAAGTGTAGCCCGATCGTTCGGTATTTGCCTTCGTAAAGGTTAACCAGAAATCGATCGGCGCGTCTCGGCTCCACCATTGTCAGGGCTCCAGCTACTATCGGGTGCTCGGCCTCAAGAGGGATCCGAGAAAGCCCATCCGCCACGGCATTTTTAGTACCCGATATTCTCTCAACTGTGTAATCATAGAGTTGAATCCGTATTAACCATCGTGCGATGGTCGGGTCCGTCAGACTAAAGTCCTTCTGGAGGACAGAGGCAACCGCCGTGGGATCTACTCTCAAGATGAACCGTCGTCCGTAGATATAGTGTCTGAACGTGTCTAGACACCGCAGAACAGCTAACATTTTCTTCTTGAATTGACTGTAGTTACGCTCAGTCGTATTAAGTGTCCTACTCTCAAATCTTAACGGTTGTTTCTTCCCTTCAGTGTCCTTCTGTGACAGCAGCCCTCCAACTGAACAAGGTCCAGCATCCGTGGATACTATGAAGGGTCTCCCGACCTCATCATCAAAGAACGACACGCCCAGTATGCGCCCTCCCTCCTTAAATTCATCTTTAAGCTCTTGCATAGCGAGTTCCTGAGAAAAATTCTAGTAGAATTTCTCAGTCTTCCTAAGGAATACCCTCAATGGTTCAGCCTTCTCTGCATACCTGCGTATGAAAATCCGCCAGAAATTGACGGACCTCGGTAGCGCTTTGCAACGGCGACCACCAATTTAGGAGTTTGTCTAGCTTTGCAGAATCCGCTCGGCGTCCTCTTGAGTCGCAGATAAAGCCTAAGATCTTAATAGTCGAGACGGCCCACCGAGTCTTTGTTCCGCTGACCGTCAAATTTGCATCGTCCAGCTGCTCAAGTATCATGCAAATATCGGTTAGGTACTGTTCGACAAATCTTCTAACTCCCGGCACGACCTCTGTCTCATCTTTCTTTACTGGTCCTTTTATAGGAAAGTCATCCAGAAAAACTTCAACCTTGTAAGGAATAAAGTCCTTGAGGACGGCTACCATGACTCTCTGAAAAACGGTTACCCCATTAGTCCAACCCATAGGGACGACCATCATCTGTATCAGTCCCAATGGCGTGTGCATAGCCGTGAGGTGCCTGTCCCTGGGATCAAGCGGTACCTCATCATAGCCCGAGAACAGATCACAGGCTGAATCAATCGACCTGCCCGCGGTGCCTTCAGCCAGTAAGTCGGCGTGAGGCACAGAGCCTACGTCTCGAATCGTCACCGCGTTGACCTTCTGAAGGTCCTGGATCCACCAGATCTTGCCATTCGGCTTTCGTAGGAAGAACCGTCGATTAGCATAAGCGCTGTCAGATGGTTCTGCAACACGAGAAGCTCATCTTTTTTTTTAGGAAAGCGATAACCTCTTCCTTCTCCCTCTAGGCATATTTCCATCCTGCGTCATTCCATGGAACATGTGGAACCGTGTAAATTCTTGTTGGCTTAGCGTAACGAGGGTCAACCCTACCGCGCTCCACGTCGCTGAAAGCTATAGCCTTATCGCACGTCTTTAAGATTTCTATCACACGCTCCTGCTCCTGTGGGGTCAGATTTTCATCTCCGATGTCCATCCCTGTTATCCTCTCTTCCGTTAGGCGTTGCGGCTCCTTTTTCTTTCTTTCTTTGATTTCCTTTGCGATCTCTTCCTCCGATATCCCTTCCAGTGCAAACCGCTCGCGGCCCACCGCCGCTGGCTTAACTTTTTGAGCTACTCGCTTGTGTCGCTTGGGTAGCCCCCCATAGGGGGCCGTGCCCTTAAAAAAGACACAGATATCACGCCGCCAAACTCCTCATATGCCTCCTTTGGATACGAGTTTCCGTCCACTATCAGCCGACTCCCTAAATCTTCCACTTCTACAATCCGACCTTCTTCTTCTGTGAGCAGAGGTCCATACTTCTTCTCGCGAAATCGCTCCGTGCGGCCGGAGATAGGTAATAACTTAATCCGATCACTGGGTCCTGCACCCAAAAAGACACAGATATCACGCCGCCAAACTCCTCATCTGCCTCCTTTGGATACGAGTTTCCGTCCACTATCAGCCGACTCCCTAAATCTTCCACTTCTACAATACAGAGGTCCATACTTCTTCTCGCGAAATCGCACCGTGCGGTCGGAGACAGGTAGTGACTTAATCCGATCACTGGGTCCCGCACCCACAGTGAGAGTTGCTCTGTTGCTCGGGTCTCGAGGCTCCACAATCTCAATCATAACCCGCGTCTCATCTAGCTTCTTAATGGACAGTGTCTGCTCCCGTCCGGTCGCTATATCATCACCGCATGCACATGGCTCAACCACGTCCGTCCCAAGAGCAGGTCAGAGCTGTAGTTCTTGACTGCAAAGACTGGCAGGGTCACTCGTACTCCTTGGACCTCTATGGCTGCGTTGTGACAAACCCCTGTGATCTGTTGCTTTCTCCCATCATCCGTCTCTATCTCTAATAGGTATGACCTATCGAGTCTCAGTCCAACTTACTCTGCCAGATCCTCGTCTGTAATGACAGCCTCACTGCCGTTATCGATCACAGCATCTAGAACCGCCCCGTCGTTTAGGATCGCCTCCACGGTCTCACTTCCTAGTATGTAAAACTTGTCTGGAGGCACACCTTCCATCCCATCAAGAAGAACTGTCGCCATGCAATCTGCTCTAGCAGTCACCTCCGATACTGCTACAGTAGGAGCATCTGCCTTAGGGGCCACCTGAACCTCCTCTGATAGAGGTATGCGAGTCTTCCGTGTGATCATCTGTAACTCGTCGTGAGCCGGCTTGGATGTTGCTAGATATTCCAGAATAGAGCACTGCATGGGCTGTTGAAGGGTCAGTCTCAGTGGCTCGACCGTGTCAATCTCATCCAGCGAACTCTTCATCAAGAACTTCTTCACTCCCCGCTTTCGCGAAGAAAAAATAACCTCCTCTCCATCGATCCGATGGCCGTCCTTCTCTGCCATCACGTAATCCGTATCGGTCTTCCTCGATGTTGACCCCCTCGCCGACTTGGTAGTTGCCACCCTTATGGGTGTGGTTGCCATATCTCCTTCGAAAGTTATCTTGATGCTCGGGCTCCTAATCGGCTCCTTTTCTTTACTCGGCTTTACTCTCCTTGCTTCAACATTCTCCTTCATCGAAGGGAACATTGATACGTCTCCCAGATCATTTGTCCACTTGACGTACTTGCGGTCATCAAGCACGACAAGTCCCTCATCTATTGCCCGCTTGAGATCCGGGCAGTCTCTCTTGATATGATCATGTCCTCTACAGTAGACGCAAGAGTTTCTGGGAGTGGATGGTCTGTCGTCTGCGCTCCTAGCGATCGAACCCCTGGCTGCTCTGGGGTCAGGGGATTTTGGATACGGATCAGATGGCGCGCCATATCCCCCTCTCCATGGAGACCGCCGGAATGACTCACGGGGACGATGTGAGCAAGGAGGATCCGGAGGAGACCGCCGCAATGATTCGCGCCTGCGTGACTCATCACGTCGATCTCCTCGGTTGTACCACCCCCGCGAATCGTCGCGCTGCTCTCCCGCGAATCCCTCGCAGTCATAACGTCCGCGCGAGCCATCTCGTCGGTCTCCGTCTTGATCTCCTCTCTCATATCTGTCACCCCTGTATCCATCTCGATCCGACCTCTCATATCTGTCGTCCATATATTCATCTCGGTCCGATCTCTCATATCTGTCGTCCCTGTAAGCGTCTCGTCAGCCCTGATCTGACTCCCACCGGAGGCGAGAGTCGCCTCTACCCCCATCAGCCTCATAACGAGGGTTACGCGAGTAATCATCCAGTCTCCTAGCTCGTCCATATGTCTCGCGAGTCCTGCGGTCCCGGTCTATCTCATCATCCCTTCGTCGCCATGGCTCATCGTCTCTCTCTCTTTCCCTCGCACGATAATCAGTTAGCGTTCGAGGATTTCTATCCTCGACACTCCTCCACGAATCGGTGTTCCTACGGTCCCAGCGAAGTGAATAGGGTCCTCCGGGTTTGTCCTGGTAAGTCGTGGTTCCTGTGGTGGTCACAATCTCTGTAACCTGTCTTGTCAATCCCTTTACCATGTCCCTTATCTCCTTCAATTCCTCGGTCACCGCTTCATTCTTTTCCGACCAGGGATAGTCCTTGAAATCAGGACATCAATCAGTGGTATACTCCTTATAGAGAGAGAAGTCACGTCTCCTCATTCCCCTCCATACCAAGTCCTTGTAGTCGTTTGCCTCTGCCTTTATCGCGAGCTTTAGGACTTCAGGGAAGTCAAGCTTGTCCCGCGGGAGATCTCTAAGTATGCTCTTTTGTCTACCTTTGGACAGGTGTCTAATGAAGATTGTATAGCGCTCGGCTTCTGAAATCTTCCCCTTCTTCATCAGCACGTCAGAGATCTTTTGGAAACGCTTCCCGAATGCCCGTACGCTCTCGTCCTCATCTTGAGTCATAGTCTCAAGGTCCTTGATGGAGTACTTATTATCTTCTAATTTGTAAAGCTCAATGAGGTTCTTCTTATACGTAGTCCATTTCCCATCCTTCGGTCGGGCTTCCTTAACTTCTTTGTCGAGACTTGGATCCACATTAAATAGGAAGTTCTCTATAATCTCTTCCTCCGACCACTGACTCCGGCTAGCATGAAGCTCCCACTTCTCCAGATATTCTGTGATATCATAGCCCCTGAAAGTAGGAGGCTCAGAGGCCTTGTGCGTAATAATATAGTGATCCTTGCTCTCGTAAGGAAGCGGATGTGACTCCCCCGTTTGGGGGTCGAAGACACGCCGGGGCGGTGCTCTATCCCTGTCTCTGTCCCTCCAATAGGAATCTCGTGAACTCTCTCTCCAGTCGTCCCCGCGCCTATCCACCCTAGTTTCCCTTCGTTCATACTCGGGGGAGCGTCGTGTCGTCGCTTCTCGTCGAGCGCTCGAAGTTTCAGTCTTCAAAGTCTCCTGCGGCTCTGTCACGACCGGCTCGCCCATTACGTCGGGTTCTCCGTCATTGGTTTGGTCAGCCCATCTCATCGGTGCTCCCTGCCTAATTCGTTCCTTCAGATCCCTCAATGCTCGGTCGGGCGATGTCCTGTACTCCTCTCCTGCTTCGCCCGTGGTCGGTTGTGGCCCCATCGTGTTTGGTTCCATAGGCTACCAGAAGTTGTAGTCGGGCACTTACGCCAGGCGTTACAGCCCGGACCTATGACAGTTGCAGCAGCCCGGACCTGTGACAAAACTTGCAGCCCGGACCTGTTTACTTTTCACGGTTCGCGCTCGTCTCCAATACTAGCCCTCGACTGCCCTGATTACCGCCACCAGTACTCCGTTCTGGTCGCGGACCTTGTGCTCACCTTCTATCCCAAGGATCCCTGTGTCTATGTAAACCTCTCCTTCGGGATCTGCCAACAAGGTCGCGCCTCTCCTGATCTGCACTATACCCGTGACTGGATCTCTACACCTGCTGCAGATCGCAGTCCCAAGCCTAACCAATGTCTCCCGACTAGCAACCCTCAAGAGTCCTCGAGCGTCTATCTCCGTTCTCCTCACTAGATCATCTAGTCCGTCCTGAATCGGGTAGCCCGCAAATGGAGGAGACCCTCCTCCTACTGCCATCTAAAGCCGCCCATCTGACCTCACTGACCTCCATTATCTTTCCAAGAGCTTACAATCTCTGTTTCTCCTCCTCTAACTCCCAGACAGCTTCAAGACCATTTGTCTAGCATCTGAGGAAAGTCAGTGCTATAGCCGCTCGTAATCTCATTGCCGACAACTCCAATATTTCATAGAACGTCTCAAAATCTTTTTCATCTCCACTATCCTCTATGGCCTCTGAAGTCTTTATCGTTTCCCTCCAGTATCGGTCGTAAGCAGCTAGCACCCTGAGTATCGCTCCATCTACTACAACTCTCCCTAGTTCCCCAGCCTTCCTGGCTTCGCTTATCTTTAACCTCTCTGTCTCTCTGGGCGTCTCGTACCACGCCCTTATCAGAGGTCGCCCATCGAATGGTGTCGTGCGCAGTACGTACTTTATCCTTCGTCCTCCTTCCACTCCAATCCAAAGTCCTGTTCCCCTAGCCTCTCGCAGCGCACGACGAACACACTCTGCCTCCTCAACTATGCACAACCTGGTATGGAGCTGGAGCTATGCGATCACTAACACCAACGGTCCGTCCAGTCTCCCTACCACATGCAATGAGTACCTGTCCGTCATGTTTAGTGCAGTCCCGCTCATGTCCTGTTGCTATCCCTCTGCGTTACCTTGTCCTCCGTTGTTACGTCCCCTGCAGACTCTTCCTTTGCTTCTTCGCGCGATAGGTTCCTAGTCTTTACCCTCTGCACAAAGTCTGATCTCCATGCTTGGATAATCTCTCTATCTTGGCGGAACAGACTCTCTAACTCTCTCGTCGGGAGCTCGACTCTACGCAGCTTGCCCTCATCTTGGCACGAACGACTCTCCCTTATCCTGTTTCCCAACTCCTTCACCTAGTTCAACAGTAGTTCTTTAATACGCTTTCTTACTCTTTCGATCGCCTCACTTTCCTCTTTCATACTCTGTCCACATCCCTTTTCAGCTCATCCTCATACCCTCGCTATAGCCTTTGCTACCGTCTCATCGTGGTAGTGCTCCACGCGCATATAACCATGAGACCATACCATCACATCGTAGGAAATCGAGGTCTGGAAGGTCACCTGCGCCAGTACATCAGCTCTATGCTCGCGGATCAAATCCCTGGCTCGTAGTCGGCACTCCCTCACCGTCAAGTCCTCATCTATGTATGCTCAGAGAAGTACCGTCACAGTGTACCCTGTGCTTACCAGTTGCTTATCTATGCGCACCACAGTTGCTGTCCTCCCCGGCATTCCCTAAGCTGGGACCTCGAAGAGTTTCCTCACATCCTCCAGCCCCATATAATCAATCTCCGCTCATCTCCTGCAGTACCTAATCAGATCGACTGGCCTCAGACAGTCCACCCAGCTAGTAACGTCTATGATGTCGTCAAGCGCCTCTCTGCTCAGTGGCCCCCACCTTACACAAATGGCGTAGTACGCTTTCCTGAAACGAGGAGCTAAGCCCTCCCAAAGCGCGTAAAGTGTGTGGTCCACTGCTACACTCAGACGGTCTACGCTCCCGTAGGTCTGCCCTATTATGAACGCAGGAAGTCCAAATCGCCAACCCTCTTTCGGGTAGAGGGTCGGGTGCGGAGGTCCGTATACCAAGCGACTCCAGTACGACCTTCCTCCAGAGAGTCTCGCCAGTTGCTGATTAACGATCACTCTGGCCAACAACTCGTTTCTCCACCAAACTCTGCTAGCCCCTGCGAGTGTCAGACCTACGTCTAAATCATGAGCTCTGTCCGCTATCAGGTGTCCCACCCCTTCTAGGTCATGAGTCATTTCGGGTCGTCTATCTTTCAGTATCACCGTCCGAAGGAAAACTCCCTGTGCCAGCCGCGTTCCAAGGTAACATATCGGAACACAGCCGGTCTCCTCTAGCCTCACAGGAAGAGGAATATCATATCCAACAGCCGTCTCTCTGGGTCTTACAAGTTTCCTCACGCTATAGGATTCAGACTCTCGTGAGAGAACATAAGCTAGCCAAGCCGCCGAGTCACTCCTCATCTCTCAAGCTAACTCATCAACTCAAGTCGCCCAATCCCTATGGGCTAAGTCCTTGACAATAGGCCCTCTTGTTCCTTCGCTCTCAGTTCCAGCCCGTGACTCGCGGAGCTGGAATCCCTTCGTCTCTCACTGAACTCCGTCCCCTGATACGGCCAATGGATGCTATCCTCCTATCGCGCAGGAAGGGGTATGTCGCACCCGAGCGCGGTCTCCCTAGGCTCTGTCAATCTTCTCGCCCTGGTAGGAACCTGAATCTAGCAATAGGACATATGCTCACCACGCACTCGTATCACTCCTCATTCCCCCACGCTACTCAATTTGTGCCACTCTACTCCCTCCGACGCACTCGATCTCACGATGTTACTGACTCCTCAGACGACTCTCCCTGTCAGGCTCAAGATAGTCGAGTAGGTGTTGTGCACTCTTCCGTCAGCCCCACGTATCTCTGGCCTCTCCGTATCTCCAGGGCATGCTCCGTCATGAGTCTGATTTGTCGCGCAACATCGTCCAACGCCTCTTCTTCCCATCCCCCTCTCCTATCTCGCAGCAAGGAAAGGGTCACTCTCAGTGTGTCTCTATCCGCCATCTTTATCAGTGCTTACTGCGATTCGTGTCTCGTATGAGGTTATCTCCTTGTGTCTATCATCTGACACCCTTCTACTCCACGCTCTACACTATGCCCGGATATGCCCTATCCTTCATTGTCCGCCGCGTTTGGCATACTCTCGTCCACGTCCTCGTCTCCGTCTGCATCCACAGCCCGGCCCCAGGGGATATGCTCCTGTCCCTCGGCCTGAGCTAGATGCCCCCAACCGTCGCTATCTCGTCTGTCTAAATCGACGCCGAGGTTGTCTTACCCAGCGTTTGGCACGTCTCTCCACGGTCTCTCGTCCTGTCCCCAAGGCTCTGCGTCGCTGAGGCGTTCCCAATCTCGATCGTCGGCGTCCCAGCCGAGCTCCTCTCTATCTGGATATATCTCCTGGTAATGCTCCTCCAACTCCCATATAGAGATGAGGGAAGCAGGCCTATCACCGGGAGTCTCGCTAAAGAGTCGTCCGACCCCCTCCAAACTATCCACTGGTCTTTGGACCTCCCTATCAAGTGTCAGCCGGAACTCCAAGGGTCGGCCCGGGAAAAAGGAGTGGGGGTCTGTTGTAGGCGCTATGGCACGTAAGAACTCAATGAGTTGTATCCCCCTCTCTCCAGTAAGTGGCCCGCCTACGAACTGTGCGTAGGCAATCCAGTCCCTGTCCGTCTGCCCTCTAGCTAGTCCGTTGACCTCTAGAGCCGCGAAATATCTCTCCAGGACGCACCTCAAGCCCCAAAGCTGCTCCACTACAAAGACCGGGAACCTGGCGCTCAGTCGGACTGTCGGGAAAGCAAACCCTCCTATCCGAAACGTAATCCTCGTCTCCCTGACAGGCCCATACAGATCCTCAATCCCCTCTCGTGCACTCTCTATCACGCCTGTCAGGATCTCTCTCACCTCTCTCTMATACCGCCAGAACCCATGCACCAAGCCCTGGATATAGACGACGMCGCTCACCTCACGTGAGTAWTAAATATGCCCTACRSCCTCTATGGACGTCGTGCCAGGCGCCCGCCACCTCTGCGGATCAGACTCGTAAGTCTGAACGGTATATGACCATAGGTGCACGTCTGGCCCCAGCCGAGTCGACCCCCAATGGTCAATCAGCCCTGGCTCAGTGACGCATCTGGCCGGTAGATCAAGCTCCACCAAGTTGGGAGCTATGATCTCGGGCGGTCTAGGCCATCTGAAATCACCAAAGGGTAGGTCGACTCTCTCGATCTCCTATAACATTTGCCTGCAGGTTCTCCTATCTCACTCTCTCACTCTACTGCCGAATCTCACCGCTAGCCTAGCTCACACTCGCCTCGCGGCACAATCTGCCTAGGCCCTAATCGATACTCCTTTGCGTGGGAAGTGCGCGTCTGTCGTGTCGTCCTCCTCCTCGTCAACCTCACTCTCTGGGTCAACCCAATCCGGTTCCCACGCGTCCTCGTCGTCCTCTCGCTCCCAACCCTCCTCGTCGAACTCGTCCTCGACGCGATATGGCTCCTGCCCTATAGCCTGGTAATACTCCGCCAACTGATAGCCATGTATCAGTGGTCGCCCAGCGTCCTCACTCCACCAGCTACCCTAGTCGTCTGAGAAGAGTCTCCCGGTACAGGTCACGTACTCGGGGTCTGCTCGGAGCTCACGGTCCAACCAATCCCAAACGCACGAGATTGGGGCCACTCGTCGTCTATCGAACGGACCAGCTCTATAAGTTGAACCCTCTCGTCCCCCCAACGAGGCCCACCGGTCGCAAGCGAATAATAGAGGTAGTCGAGGTCACCGCGCCCTCTGGCAAGGACCTTGAGATCCTGATAGGTTAAGTATGCCTCGACCACTCCGCCTATACCTCCAAAGATGCTCTCTACAACGAACGCAGGGACTACCGCCCGCAGACTCAAAACGCTGTACGGGAAAAACAGGTATCGCGCTATCACAAGCTCGCTTGTGATATCAAGAGGAGGGCGTCCGTGAAATCGCATCAACGGGTCGCTCGAGTCCTCCGCTCGAAAGGCAGTGACCTCGTCCCTCAGGTAGCGTAAAGCCCT